CGTCGCGTCGCGGGTCGCAGAATGCTGCTCATGAATATAAGCCTCTAGCATGGCTTGAAATTAGTCGAGTTCCTCGTCAAGCAGTTCCGTGAGTAAGCCGATAACATAATTATTAATTAGATGTTTCAGTTTAGGGAGGAAATGAAATAATATTTAGAGAAATAAAGTTGTATGACGTAGTTTATTTTTTTAGGACTAAGGAGGATAAACCTCCTTAGTTACACCCTCAACATTAGAGTATTTCTAAGTGAATAACCGGTCGGTCATAAGAGGACGGATTACATAACATAACATCACATCACGCCTTTTATCCCTGAAGGGGTAGGCAGACGTGCACACAGAAGTAACACCCACTTTTCACTATTTATGTTATGAGTCCCATGTTATAGGGGGTGAGCGTATTGCCATATACCGGGAACATTTCCAGACTCCGTGCTACTACTAAGATTTTTTTTTTAAAACCCAGTAATACTTTGCCCGACCCAGGAATTTAACCCGAGATCCCTTGCCCGGCAGTCGCACTTGCGATCATTCGGCCATCGAGGCAGTCGAGAGGACGGATTAGTCCCACGATATCCTTATTTTAAATAACCATGTAAATAAGTTATTTACATGGTGAAACACAACATACTGCAACATACAATATTTTTTATTTAATACAGAAGAGGAAAAGACAAAGTTGAGTACATAAGTCCTAATTGATTACATAAATTAGGTTATAAATCTAGATCTGCCTTAAAAATGTCGTACCTTAAGGTCCAAAATTGCTCAACGGCCGAAAAAATGGCGGACATAAAGCAATGTCCTAATTAAATACTTAATTAATTTGCTACCGTAATGAGAAGTAAAATGTGCGAAAGAATTAATTATGATTCGGGTGATTTTGATAATCAGTTCACGTTGCGTGAATTTATTTTAATTATCTACACCTGTACTTCTTCAGTAGGTAAATAGGTAGGTAATGATAACATTTATTGTTCATATTGCGTCCTTACGAAACGAATGTGTTTTGATAAATATTAAAAATATTTTGTATTGATACCGATAAAATGACCCCCTGTTTCGAAAGACAATTTCAATATCCGTTCAATTCCATTTTTATGGAATTAGCCGGTAAACGAGCTCGGTGACGGATCACCTGATGGTAAGCAATCGGCGTCGCCCATGGACACCTGAGCCATTACTAGTGCGTTACCGGCCTTTTGAGGATAAGGGATTTGAGGATTGTTGGGGATTCGAGGATTATGGAGATTGGGGTGACCTCACTCACATGACGAAACACAACGCAAACGTTGTTTCACGTCGGTTTTCTGTGAGGCCGTGGTATAACTCCGGTCGTGCCGGCCCATTCGTGCCGAAGCATACCTCAATATTTACTTCGTACTGGTTGATATTAGCATGTCACTATTTGCTTTATATGTTTAAAAATAATGTTTGAATTTATTAAGAGAACGCAATATGTTTCTGTCCTTGTCATATCGGGTCTGACGTCATTGACCTGTCATTTCGTTATTTTTTGTTGCGAATGTGGAAATCAAATAATAGTAAAGTTTGAACTTAATAAGAGAACGCAGTATATTTTTGTCCTTGTCATTTCGGGTCTGACGTCATTGACATGTCATTTGTTTATGAATTGGCACGTTGCTCGTGTAACTTCAGTGACGTTTTCCCGACTTGCCTATTCATCCTCACGCCTATCAGACTTATAATTAGTAGAAAGTAGGAAGAAATATATTTATTTGAAGTCTCTAATACCTTAGCTAGAACTAACAGCTGTTAAACAAAGTTGTCGATAGCGTCAACTAAAATAACTTCAACTGTATATCACCTAAATAATCGATAAAAGTGAAACGTGAGCCTAAAGAAAGGATTTTCGGTAACTAAATCCCTCAGTGGGTGTAAATATCAGTTCAAAGCTTCGAAGATATTTTCTTATAGTTTTTTGTTCCGTAAAATCTGCCAATAGTTTCACAATGGACGTCTTTCAAGTATTTCTATTGAAAGATTCATAAAGAAAGAATATTATTTTTCCCATAGTGCTGACTACCTCCTTTTTTTAAAAAAAACGTTACCTCACACTAAATTGGATTTTCTCCCGTGTTGTGGGTGCATTTCCAAACATACAGACGCCCAGACTCAAAATAACAATTTGTAGATTTGAACATAAAGAATTCGTCCGTGTGGTAATCGAACCCGCTACTACATTTTGCGTGGCAGCCAATTTCCCAGCAACCGCACCAACCTTGCAGTCACTGATTGACTGCTCGCAAGAGCTACTGTTAAACTATTTGTCTACGGTTTCTCGGATTTGATACCTGGGTTGTGCAAAGTATTTTTAGGATTTTCAGACTTAGTAGTGACTTACAACATACCTTGTAAAAAGTGAATGTTACATAAAACTTACGTATGCAACATCTCTACCTACCCCTTTGGGGATAAAAACTCAACGTCACGCTTTTTAATCCTCATTATGAGTTTGTATTATATTTCCCGTAGCTCTTTAACTCGTCGAGTACCGTCATTATAGACACAATTATAGAGCAATAGGTTGCGGTCACCGGTGACCGCTTGGTGTTTGACAATTTAAATAGAGATAGCATTTTCATCGCGCATTGTGACAAATGCATTCCGTGATTCCACGAGTAATATATATATGAGTGTGTATGTAGTGCATATATGATATATAATACGTGTATACATAGCTGGCTGTTACCTGCATTATGCATAAGTGTATATTTGCGAATGCACTCCGACTGAAGCGGTTTGGTAACATGAATATTTTTGGAGAGCAACCGTGGCTGAAATAGGAGATGGTAGTCCAGAAACGGAGTGCAAACGAATTGAATTAACAAATATGAATTTATTTGCCTTTTAATAGTTGTTTTAAAACATTAATATTTTCTCTAAAATTGATGTTAAGTTTGATATGGTATACAGGTTGTTGAGTTTATATCACATCCATTAAACGCTCTACGTATCTATCTTCTTATTCTTATGGTGCCACTTAATTCCTGAAGGTTGGCGGTCACCTTTTGAATTGGTCCTTGTCATTGGCCAGGCGGAAAAGTTGTTCCACAGAGCCGACACTAGTCCACGTTATACGTATCTATAGTTTAGTTAGAAATCTAAGCATGGTGACAGACTCACGGAATGTGAAGAAGTCACAGAGGATATAATAATTGTCAAAATAAAGATAAGTACTTACCTAATTTTTGCTTCTAACGCTGATTCATGTTATGGTTTAGTCGCGTCTTACGTGTGTTGTATATAACATAAAATAATATTATGTGTATTGTGCAATGAAATCTTGACTGCATGGAACAACTCTTTGAGTGATCCACAGATTGTTGTTCCGGGTCTAGGTGTCATGAGTATGTGAACTTGTATGTTTGTAAACACACCCACGACACAGGAGAAAACCTTAGTGTTTGGGGCAACGTTTTTTTGAAAAGAAACAGAAAAATCTTTTTTACTTGCCATATCGTGTAATATTAGTGACCCCTGAAACTTGAAGAAACGGACAGCCGACGTGAAGCAACGCTTGCGTTGTGTTTCGTCGTGTGAGTGAGGTTACCGGAGGCCCAATTACCCTCCCCTTCCCTAATCTCCCCAATCCCTGAATCCCCAACGATCCTCAAACTCCTAATCCCCAAAAGGCTGGTAACGCACTTGTAACGCCTCTGGTGTTCCTGGTGGCCATGGGCGACGCCGATTGCTTACCATCAGGTGATCCGTCTGCTCGTTTACCGGCTTAAGCCATAAAAAAAAATCTCGTTCTAAACAGGTAAGATTATGGTGATGTTGGTCGAAAAATATTGTTTTTTTTTTTCATTTTATCCACTGTTTCGTAAGTAACTCGACCGTAAGTAATTGAAACATTATTTATCGTTCAGGACACTGCCCTTATAACGTGCATCTGATATAAATTCATTTTATTTTTTCTTGTAGGAGAAAACATGGGATAAGTATTAACTATTTTATGAACTTAAGTGTGTAAAGAAAAAAATAGTACTGATATTGTATCCTGTATTTTTTTTTATCCTGTATTCTGTAAGTATATCTATTATAACTATGGACTATAGAGAGAAAACTATAATGAAGGTGGGCCGTTATTTTATCTATGTACATAAAAATGAATCCCTATATCATTTGAACTGAACCGATTTAATTATTTTTGATGTGCTTGTTATTCAGTCAGCAGAAGGTTCTTATGACAGAAAAAATAACTTGAAAATCCTAGGGGAAAAGGAAAACACGCATACGAAGTCGCGGGCTTATGCCCGCTAGCGAAGTCCTACATAAATATATCTATGTAACTATTACTAACTGAAATCGAACGATGTAATTATAAAGGTTAGAAGCTTATAGTTTTTTTTATACATTTTGCGATGACTATAACCTTATTGCAGATGTATCTTCATCTTAATCTAAATATCTCAAAATTATTTCTTGTCAAACATAAGCATAGCCCGAGTGAGTATAAAAATGTTTTTTTAGAGGAATAACAAACAAATTTGTTCAATAACTTAGTCGACACGTGAACCGTTTTTGTTAGCTGTAAAAGGGATTATATTCATCTAATTAATTGACTTAGTATTTTTAAAGGAACTTCCTTAATCTCGGCTTTATAAGTAAACCGTTATTTTACAACACAAATTGTTGCTATAAGACAATAATTCTTCTTCCTTATTCTTTTAATTGAGATATCATGTTGGCAGGAAATATTCTTCATAATTAGACCTTCAAGTTAATGTGTACTACTTTATTCGCTTAGATTTTATAGAAACATCAAAATAAAAAAGTATTGAAATGTTCCAATAAAATGACATAAAAATAAATTACTTTAAATGGCTCTTTCGTATCAAAAGGATTGGTCTAAACGAAAACTATTAGCTTTTCCTAGAACAGTGGTAGTTTATAGAGTCATTGTAATATAAACTAAACCTCCCAGTCACTAAAGCACATTTTCCTCTAAACAACAATTAAAATTACTATCATACCTGTGCGATGAGTTTCTGCAACTCTTCATTTTCTTTGACTAGTTCCCGGTAGCGCTCTTCGTCGGCTGGGGCGGAGCCCGACCCGGAGCCCCGGCCGCTCTCTGCACGCTCCGTGGGATGACGGATCACCTCGATCACCTGACAGGGCGAGTATAAAAGAATATTTACAATAAGGTATTTCATATTAGTATTTCATATTTATTTTAAAATTCCAAAAAAAGGATTTTTTATTAGCTATCGTGAGACATACTAAATCAACTAAAAATCGCGGGTTACGAGAAAAGCTCTACTAGTTTCGAACCACACGCTACTCATGAAGAAAAACCCCTCTGTGGTTCGAAACTAGTAGAGCTTTTCTCGTTTTTTCAGATGAGTAAACCGCGATTTTAAGTGAATTTATCGTAGTTTATTGTTAAGAATTTGGTGTAAGATTATTAATCGTATTTTGATTTGCGTCTATATTTGTCTTGTTGTGAGCAACAAGATAAATTAGCTACAAAAATGTGAAAATCATACAAATGGATGATAAAAGGTCAATCTATTTCACATGGCATTATAGATTCTAATGTGTAATGATAAGGTTTAAAATCGATAAAAATTTGATGGGTTTGAAGCTACTTGTTGTGTTGGTATCTGTTTTAAAATATGATGTGTTTATATGAGTACCAGTATAAGTTGACCGCTCGTAGCCTATATTTTGTTTGCAATGTGAGGTCACCTTAAATCGGTGATAATGGACTTTATCATAATGTTGCATTATGCAGGAAACTAATGTTGGGTGAAATTTTAGTTATCGTCATCCTTTAGATGATGTTTAAAGGGTATGTAGAGATATGTGGATTGGGTATGACTATTTTTAGAATATTCAAAGTCAAAGTTAAAATCGTTTATTTCAATTAGACGAGATGCCACATTTGAACGTCAATCATTTTTTTAGAGTGAAGCTATTTGCGCATTCCAAGGAGTAGATTCCTATAAGGAAGAACGAGCAAGAATCTCCATAGTTTTTTCAATTTAATTATTATTCTATAGGCTGGGTAAGTAAGAACTTTAAAATAAATAAGTAAATTATCGTAAATTTATCAATTGTATAATATACATATGTCTTTTATCCCACAAGGAAATAAAGCAACTACCCACATTAAAACCGTAGTTTTTTCTTCTTCTCCTCTTATAATATCTTCTGATTCACTTCGTTGCGGGAACCAAGACAGTTATTCATGTCCCTGGGACGCACCGGACTTCAGAGTTCCGGTGTTTTCATGGTTGTATCTACTGTAGATCCTGACTTACAGGAGTTGCAGCGGTTTAGGGAGGTTGTGGCGGGCTTGTCTTATTTATACCCACATTAAAGAGGATGAATTTAATGCAAAACCACAGAAATAGCCCGATGGCTATTTCTTTTATTAATATCTCGATAGATATTAATAAAAGAAATGTTTATGATTATGCTCACATTCAGACTATTAGTACATACATAACCTCACGCCTGTCTCCCATGAGGGTTAGCAGAGACTATGGAACGCCAAATCAATAATAATATACTATAACACTGTTACAGGTAATTATCGCATTAAAAATATGTTTGTATATATGTAAACCCACGTGTCAGCATCATATGTCATAAAGAGTGTTTCATTAATCACAATGTGTAATCGGGGATTATAAACTGAGGCACGTGTACGGCAGCGTGTACGGTCATTGCTTTTTAATTACGATAGATAAGAGCACCTAATCGGAATAGGAATAGGTACTATTATTAATAATCATTCAAAACAAAGAAGAGGCCAATATGCTAAATTGAAGTTACACGAGCATCATAGAAGTCATTACGTAAGTCATCAGAACGTTAGATTGAAAGGTACATCATGTACCTTTTATTAAATAAATAAATAAATAAAAAAAAAATGGGCTGATGGGCCATTCATGATCAAAGATACCACAATTGACTTCCTGTCTCCACAGGCAAAGGAGGAACACCGCGGTAGTTTTAGCCGGTCAGAGTCCAGCACACACCTCCGTCGTCCCCACGACGTGGGAAGTTCATGAGGATTTACATCACGTTATAAAAAAAAAGTTGACTTCGTGTCAGAATAATGAAAAAAAAACAGCCACCGTCACCCATTTCAGTCCACTGCTGGTCTAAGTCGCAGGCCACGCTAACGCGACGCGTCTTGCGTATGTAATTAGCTGGAAAAACTACATGGCTTGCGACATAGGCTTCTCTGATAGCACGTGGGTATTGCGAGATGCTGTACCCTGCGATAGACAATCCTGGTTAGGCCCCAGTGTGGGAACTATACTATCCAGAAATATTATGGCCCGCATAAAGCAATAACAAATAGATATTGAATTTCGACGTGTAGTTACAATTTATTAACGCTTCTACGCTTTCTTCTAAACAGCTTGTCAAATTTTGATTAAATTTGGTATAGAGATAGATATCAATTTAAAAATATATTTAGTTACAATCTAGTGTAACAAGTGATTATGTATATCTAAAGAATTAATACTGAGCTACTACAGGCAAAATGTAAGTATTAAGAATTAAACTGTCAAACACCAAGCGGTCACCGGTGACCGCAACCTATTGTTCTATAATTGTGTCTACAAAACCGGTACTCGACGAGTTAATCGATAAAAATATTTTTTCAGGTCTGATTAAGACTTTGACTGCCAATAAAAACTGAAGGTAAATCCTCCGCTAACGCCGGTCACCGATGGCGTTTAACGTGTTAAGTAAAGTTGGGAATGAAAACTAACTACTGCAAATTCTGATAAAGTAATGACTAATAGTTTATATAACTGCGTTTCTGAGTACTATCGTAGATAAATGGATAAACAAGATTATTTGTTTTCAATGCTAGCCCTAGTAATTTCCTTAAGTACTATCTGTGCACCCATAAATAGATTATAGATACTGGACAATCTAGATAAATGTAATGAATATATTAGATATATCACATGTTTATTATGTCTGATTCAGTGTGTCTTTTTGTATCGACTGTCTCTTTAGTTACCATGTATGTAATGTAACCTTTGGCAATTTGTTAGTTGGATTTGAGAATTTGACAACAAAATAAATGCAGCTAGGTTCATCAGTTATTTTTAGAAACGAAATAATATTTCTAAAATGATATTCTCTTTAACAATGCCAATCTCTATTGACTGCAATTTAAAGTGGCATGCTCAAATCACAAATGTATGCAGGGGGGTTACTGGATCATTGCGTGCTCTGTATCGCGTAAAAAATTTGCTTCCTTCCGCTACGAAGGCCATGTTGGTGCAAGCCTTGGTTTTCCCTATCATCGATTATGCTGATGTCTGCTACTACGACCTGAATGCAGATCTCCTCAATAAGCTCGACCGACTTCTTAATAACTGCATCCGATTCGTTTTCAACCTGCGTAAATACGATCATGTTTCTGCACATCGGTTGCAACTAAAGTGGCTGCCCATACGCCAGCGCAGGGAGCAAAGGGCGCTAACCACTCTATTCTCCTTTCTTTCTTCACCTTCTTCACCCAGTTATCTATCCCCTTACTTTCAATACTTATGCGCAAACCACAGTAAAAATCTTCGTTCTTCTCACAACCGTCTTCTCCAATGTCCCACTCATCGCACTGACTTCTTACATTCATCCTTTTTCGTACAGGCAATTTTTCTGTGGAATGCGCTCCCCCTGGATGTCAGGATGGCCTCAACTCGACTAACTTTTAAGCAGAAAGTACGTGAGCTTTTCCTAAAGAGGTTGGCTGAATCATCGCACTAACTATCCACTGTGTATTATTAAGCAAGTATATATTTATATATTATGTATATATGTATGTATGTAAGCATATTGTACTCATGTGTAGGTATACATTATAATTAAATTTATTTATGTATGTATATCTATGTAATATATTAGTTTATCTTTCATTGTTAAAGAAAAACACTGCTTGCCTCTTGCACCTACCATTTACTCTTCTCTGCATCACCCAAAGGTCAGACTGGTAGAAAATGCCTGCGGCATTAAGTCCACCTTTTTGTACATTTTGTGCATGAAGCATTTTAAATAAATAAATAAATAAACAATGCCCATCTGAAGGTTTGCCTTTGCTTTCTATTTTGTCACTGCCTCTCAACAGGTCTCTTTTATTGTGGGGCATTAAGTCCTATATTGAAGGGGAACTAATACCGTATCAATCGAGTTTCAATAGATACCAGCACACCAACCTACCTGAAACTGCTAAACGTCAATAGTATTTCGTCCTATTTATAACACTAGTAAGTTCAAATTATTTCATAAAATATACACCTATTTACAGAAGAGATAATATTTAAATACTACCAAACAGTTATTTAATGTGAATATAGTGCCATTATACCCCGAGACCCGGGTGTAAATATTCCACAAAGACATTTTTCTATTTAAACTGCCGCCATAATACCGATTATCATGTTAAATCGTGTGAAAGTATCTCAAAGGTAGGCATTAATTTCAGTTAGGAGCCCAACTTCTGCCGTAAATCAAATTTCGGTTTATATTTTAAACGGCTGAATCAATTCGCCCTTTAGAGGAATTTTGAGGTCTCTATTTTAAGTTAAGAGATAAAATTGTACTGTGAATTAAGCGTCATTTAAATTGGTGTTGTGTTACGTTGCCTGAATAAAAAAATATACCTGAGTTATCGATTTGAAATTCTTCAATAATGAAGAATGTCTACTCGACTTTATAAGAAGAAAAGATCTATTACATAATTATGATAGTCATGATTATAGAGATAATTAATCTAAGTGTTTGTTCCATATCAAAACAGAGTAGGTATAAACTTTTTTGACCACCCTGAACTCGGTGTTTTCTCAACGAATACTGTAATCAATTCTGAAAAAATAAATTGTCATACATATGTAGTTCACAGAAATGGTAATTATAATCTTTATCAAAGAATTTCAGATGATATTAAATAAGTTTCATCGGAATATCAAAAGAAGCCCGCGAAAACTTTTAAGTTTAAAATACAGAGTGCACATTTCTGGTAAAGATTAAAGTTTTGTATTGTGTATAGTTTCCCGAATCGTATATATATTTTACTGGTTTATCAGCAACGACTGGGTGACAGTAAGTTCTTAAAGACAATGGATGCCGACATCTTTATAATTAAATAGGTCACTGCAAATTAGGTCAGATTTTGTATCGAAGAATCAATTTTTGTTATCAAGTCATTCAAGTCCACAAGGCTGTTTTGATTTGGTTGTTTATGTTTGAAATTTTAAGAAAAGTTATTTTGAAGTCTTGGCCGCAATGGTTATTGTGATAACACTCGTCATGGTTGTTCAGTTGTCAGTAAATATCGGAGTTTAGTGCGTATAAGTGATTTGATGTATAAAAGGTACAAGCTGTTATTACAGAAAATCGTCTAATTTTGTTGTTTTTAGATGTTAAGCTGAAAAATAGTTCTTATTCCATCGTATCTAGAGTCCTTTGTGGAAAAAGAAGCAGCATGTTTCTGTCAAATTCACGACTTTGATCTTAGGTGATATTACTTAAAATGTCTTAAATGAGTGTACCTAAATGATTTATTATAGCTTGCGTGTTTATTAAGATTTTAGGTATGTCCAGTCGCATTACATATACTACTATTTTACATTGTTTCCGACCATTTCTGAATAGTTTCATCCATTAGTTTCTCCAAGTTACAGTTAACTCGGGGTTGTTTCGAAGCCTGGTCGCTATTGTCTTTGTGTCAACCGCTCGTCAACTGTTTCATACAAAACAGTTTGACCTTGATATTGTACGCATTGAGGACGATGTTCGCAACAAAGGAGCGATTATGAGATGTTTTAGTCATCAAAAAGAGTTATTTGTGGTGTTAAAAGTGGATGTAAAATTACACAATTTTAGTAATAGTAAACTAGCAGACGGATCACCTGATGGTAAGCAATCGGCGCTTACCATGTACATCTGAAACACCAGGGGCGTGACAAGTGTGTTACCGGCCTTTTGGGTATTGGGAATTTCAGGATTATGGGGGATTCGGGGATTGGGGAGACTAGGGAGGAGGGGGGGTAAATGGGGCCTTCGGTAACCTCACTTACACGACGTGAAACAACGTTGCGTTGTTTCACGTCGGTTTCCTGTAAGGCCGTGGTATCACTCCGGTCGAGACGGCCCATTTGTGAATATATTGGACGCGCGGCAATCGTCAAGCAAAGAAATATCAGGCAGACTTTCTTTTGATGAAACAATCAGGAACGTCACGGAAGGGGTCTTAAATTATCTCTAGTCCGTAATAGGCTGTATCTTACCTTACTAATATTATAAATGCGAAAGTTTGTGTGTTTGTGTATATGTTTGTTTGTCTCGTCGGAACGGCTGAATTTATAAAGTTGAAATTTGGAACAGGGATAGATTACGGTCTGAAAAACGTAGGCTACTTTTCATCCCACGGGCGAAGCCGCGGGCAGAAACTAGTGTTAGGATGACACTAAGAGTTACACAGCCAACAGCCATTGTATCTTAATCTATACAGAATCAACTCACCTTAGGAATAAAAATCAGTGCCATGCTGAGAAAACAGCAGAACACGATAGCTAGAGACACGAAGGCGAATGCAGCGTCTTGTTGGCTGGCGATGACGAGGGTCACTGGGGCTGTGATGAGGCACAACACCACCACGTTGTATATGCTCATGCCAACGTATCTGGAGTCATTGATCTGGCGTACTTTCACCGAACGGGTCTCGTATGCCAGGAAGAGGCCGAATACCAGCACTAGTCCTTTGTAGCCGTACATTACACCTGTAACAAAAGAGGATTTAACATTTTTTGTTTTAATTTTGAAAAGGTAATTTAATTACTATGTTTCAGCTATTTTGGTTTTGATAGTCGCCGCGTCGCGTGCTCACGACTATGAGCCTCTAGCATGGCTTGAAACTAGTCGAGTTCCTCGTCGAATAGTTACGTGAGTGAGCCGAAAACGAAAATTAGCTTAGTTGATCTCAAGAAAGTTTTAATATAAAAATAAGTTAATATTGTAATTGTCGAATCCAGGCTACTCTATGTAGCAGTTTTTAAACTTCCACTAATGAAGATTTTCATTACTGCTGTATAATTTGGTTTTATTTCGTTATATTTTATTTTTTTACTTTTTATTCCATTTGATAGTTAATCTAATTCACAGTTCTCGTTATTCGTGTTATGATTTTACTAGCTAAATATAGGATATATTTCGATATCAAAATTCGTAGAACGAGGGATTCTAGGAACCCTTCTAGAGTCTGTACCTACACAGGTACATAATAATATATTCTGTTTGTATGTGTTACATACGACTAACATACCATATTGGCGAGTAATATATCCTTTGTGTGTTCACGTCCTATTCGTGGAAAATTCTCACTAACTAAATATTAAGTGCATATTTCTATAAATAGAATTTCTCTTTGGTCTAGATGTAAAGTTATTATAGACGGTAGGAAATAATCGACAACAAGTTACGCAAGCCTACGTTTTTGAGCACTGCGGCATCATACGCATGTTTTAAAATGCGGAGAACATAGCAAAAAGAACAGCTGTTAAGAACGACTTAAGAAAAACTTAAAATTCACAAAGTTACCGTCGCAAATGACTCGCAGTGGACTTTGTAGGAGATTTATGTAATGTAATTCACTGTTTACTTTACTTTAAATCACTTTGTATTAGAGCTCATCTCTTCAAATTATTGTTGTTTTGTTATAAGGCTCAGAATTCGGTTTATTTTGTAATTAAAAGTTGGTATCAAATTAAACGACTGTCCCTAGTCCAAGTACATGTTTTTCTAGATAAAAAATGGAACGACAAGGGACGTTTTATTTCTTGGAGTTGGTGTAAAGTTACGTAGAACAATGTTTTTGTTTGTGCAGCTCGCATTGGAATATTCTAGAATAAGTGGTGCGTGAAAATGAAACGTATTCGTAGCTGAAGGCAGCGCTCCACGTCAATACTGACAACTTGAAGTGTTCAGTTTACATGTGAATAATTGGATATTCTGTACGTACCTACAAACACTAGTTACATGTAAATATCGTTTATTGCTGGCAAATTGATATGCCAATATTGGGGAGTTATGTACGTAGGTACTATTTATAGGTTTTAGGTATGTATTTAATAGGTTATGAATCATACTAAAAGCCTTTTTAAAAATATATTGTATTACTAAGAATAGGTAACGTATATTCAAGCGAGCAATTATGTATGTAATTCAAGGAAAAGTGGAGAGGTTAGAAGCTATGTATCTGAATCTGTCAAAGTCTAAGTTTAGGGTCTATGAAGATACATCAACAGCCTATAAGTGCCTACTGCTAAGCAAAGCCTCTTCTCACACGGAGGTTTGAGGATTAATCACCACGCTTGCTCATTGCGGGTAGGCGGTTCCAAACTTATAATTAGAAATTATAAGCTTTTTTTTAATGGAGGAAAAAAATCATCGAATGACTGCTCCCGCCTGGGTGAGGCGGGAGGGAGTGTCAGACTCTTACTGACTAAAAACCACCCCGATCCTTCTCCTGCACGTCGTGCCGGAGCCCCGATAACCCGTTAGGTTCTCCGCGACAAAAATTATAAGCTTAGGTTTCCTCATAATGTTTTCTTTCACCTTCTGTCTAAATAATCTTAGAAAGTACATATAACTCGGAAAAAGTCACATTGGTACTTGTCGTTGGTAGACTTTGAACCTCCAGACCACTACGACTACAAAGATACAGATAACAAGATAATCTAACTAATCTATTTAATAGATCTTGTAAATACCAATTAGATTATGTCAATAGATGTCTAGTCTATTCTAATGATGCTAATATGACCTATTATTAGTACAGCATACAGTAGCTGCAACATATACATGTAGTTAAAGTACATAAGTTTGACTAGCGACTGAGAGTTTTTTTATTGGATAATCCGGTAAGCGAGCAGACGTATCATCTGATGGTAAGTAATCCTAGAACACCAAGGCGTTACAAGTGTGTTACCGGCCTTTTGGGGATGAGAAAATTGAGGATTGTTGGGGATTGAGGATTGGGGAGGGGCGGCGGGGCTTATTAAGCCTTCGGTAACGTCACTCACACGACGAAACAACGTAAACGTTTTTACACGTCAGTTTTCTGTGAGTTTTTTTTCGTCCCATTTGAGTCGAAGCATAGCTCTCCCATACTTTTATTTAGAAATTTGAGCAGGAGTATTCTCTAAACTCTTTTAGTTCAGTGACTTAGCTGTAATCCCAGTCGCCTTTAGGGTTGGCCTTTTTCAGCATTGGCCTTATTCTAACCTGATAATGATGTGTGTGTGTATTATTAGCACAGTATAAAGGACTATACACATAACATACCTCAAACTACTAGGCAGGATGAATAATGTATACTGCACCTCACAACATACAACCAGGAGTACATTATATAAGGTAGTGTTAAGGAAAATACTGCGGTTTGCATACCACATAATATAATGCCACCTACTTTTGAATAGTTATGAGTCCCATTGCGACCGCGAGGGGTCTCAAGTACGAAAGTAGGGTAACCCAAGCTGCCTAGGATTGGGTATTGCCATCTAAAATTCTGTTATTGTTGAAGATAAGCTGTAGCTAATGGATAATGCTACTGTGACGTAAATTAAGACAGTACCTACGCATTTGTATCTTCATATAGCGTATTAAATAATGACAACTAACTATTTACTACCTTTCGCTTTGTTTAAAAAATTCAATGTAGAGGTATGTACGTACTACATACGTATGGGACGTTGAGCGATGCCTTACAGTGCAACTTTAATAATGAAAAGTGCAAGTCATCAACACTTTAGACGCATATAAATTGGCCAGTTTTGATTATACGACAGATTTAAATGTACAGATCAGTTCGTAATATCGAGGGCATTATAGTTACCTACGCATATTTATAAAAACGTTAACATTCTCCATTATAACAGCGAGTTTATGGCTAGCTACTACCCATAATTTCACTATTATACAGGGCTCTTAACATAAATGCCCAAAAGTGTAACATAATATAAAATTTTTTTCACTGCATGCCCTTTGCCTTGCCTTTTTTATGCCCTCCGATGTGCAACAGTTATATTTTGTTTCTCTATTTACGGCCTACACAAGAAAAAGGCATCGTATGTTAAGACACAATAGTTAATCACAAAAATATAGCATGTAAATATGTATATTGTATTGCTTTAAGCTTACATACAAGAAAATGGTGATGGTGACATTCAGATAAAGTTTACAAAGAGACTGCGATGTGGTCAACAATGCTCATTATGAACGGGACCCCACACAATACCTTGTTGCTATTGGATCATTATTACCAAGTCAGTAGCGAGCATTCCAGCTAAACAATGACTGGCCATCGATCCAGTACGAACAATTAGATCTGTCAATATGCTATTTGACTGGCATTGGTAGCATTGTCTCTATAATATGATTATCGCAGTACTGTTGTTTCGTATTAATGCGAATCATGCTACTGGAATTCATTATGAAGCTTCATGCATGTTATTTTGTGAAAAAAAAATATGAAGGTATTCAGTACCGGGTTCACCCTTATTCGTTCGAACAATGTTTCGACGAAACATTTCATCGAATTGTAGTTGCAATAAAGTCGTTTCGTAGAATTCCTTTGACCGAATAATTAATTGATAAATTTTTATTTAGGTAGCATAATTATTTATTGGAAGTTTTCAAATGAAATATTTTATTGTAACCAATGTTTTTAATATAAACAGTTAATTGTTATGAAAAGATTTGAAAAGCGGTTAGTAATATAGCGCTCGGCGTCCGCTGCCGCGAGACCGCCCGCTACGCTCGCTCGCCTCGCGCCTTGTGAGGGTCACAGTTCTAACGTAACCTATTTATTTATTTTTTTTATTTTTTATTTTAACCTAACCAAATGTGTCAGGGTGTCCAAAAATTTTTTTTTTGCTGACGTCAGAAGTGCCTTCCTGGTCTAATTCATTTGTTGACTCATTCTAATTCTGTCACTTTGAACCGGGCAACATTTTTCTTTGGTTTTCTTTAATAACGATTTCTAGGTTACCTTCAATATCGAACAGGGATTTTAGATAATATTATCTTTATTCTACAATAGTAATAATAATAAGTTATATAAAGTCTCTTGTTCATTATAATAATGAGGTTGAAACTGATCTTGGCATGTGTTCACGTTTCCTACGAGAATGTTGCTGGACTTGTAGTGCGCGTAGCAAGCGAGCTAGCTAGGATCTAAGTTGTAGGTATCATGATATATATAGCTATACCAGTGAGACTGATCAGCCGTAGCTTTTCATATAGAACCTTCGTATTATTATAGCATTATAAATGTAGGTGGTAAAAGAAAATACATATTTTTATTAGAATGTACGTATAATAATTAGAATTATTTAATAAAAAAATTATCTGAATAACGCTACTAGCGATTAGTTTCTTATACTGAAATGTATTTCTATTCTTGCAAATGCAGAGCGACAAGCGAGCAAATGGAAGCTCTCTAATAACAATGTAACATAACATAACATCACGCCTTTTCTCTCTGTAAGGGTAGGTAAAGGTGCACACTACGACACTTAATGCCACTGTACAATGTAACACCCACTTTTCACTATTTATGTTATGAGTCCCTTGTAATAGGGGAGTGAGTCTATTGCCTTATAGCAGGCACAAATTCAGACTCCGTGCTACTACTGAGACTGATTTTTTTTAAACCAGTAATGCCCGTCAGCCGCACTTGCGACCACTCGGCCAACGAAGCAGTTTGGAGATTTAAAAATCTTATAATATTGGGCTTGTTGTTGTAACCTATTTGTTCTTGCTTTATGCCCGCCATAATATTTTATGCCCATAATCACTAATATAATATCACTAATAACATATCTACTGATTAGTCGGTTATAGCTCAAATTTGGCCTACCCATTAGATAAAAAACAGATTAATATTAAATTCGTATATTAAATGATACTCACCAAGCCAAACAGTATTGTGTTTACTCTCGCAGTGTTCAAGTTCAGGTCTTATATGGACATCATCGTCGTGGTGTCTTGGTGCTTCCAGAGGAAAGGTCTCCACGCGCCTCTCCAGAGGATCTCTGAGTTGCCAGGCAGTCAGGAGTGCCACGTCTACCACCAGTAGGCCTCCAACCATTGTGTATAGTTTCCAGCCGTGGATGCGCTTTTTCTGTTAGAGAAATTCGATTTTAGTTTTTATGTTGTACGTTTTAAGGTTTCTAATTGATATAAGTTTCATTTCAAGATTTCACCTATAAGTTTGTGGTCTTTTTCAAACTTTGTTGAATATACTAACTATAAAGTGGTCTAAAGTTTCCTCCAGAAGTTTTGTTTAATCAACGTTTAACCGGATCTTTTTCCATATTTAAAGCACTTTACATTTTAATTAGTAACAGTGTTACAAATAAAACATTGACATTTTTTTTTCTAACCGGAATATAACAATCTGTTACTTGTTTTGAGTCGAGAATAGAATTTCCAAGACTTGATATTAGTAGCCGCTCGCGATAAGACTTACGAGGCAGTGAACCGAACATTCTACTTAAACAACAGCTCTTTCAAACTCGAAAGCAGGAAAATCTTTGACATTTCCCAATAAAGTAAATCAGAAGTCAGCGATACAATATATTTAAAGAACGCGGCGGGAGGGAGTCGTATCAGATCCAACAAAATAAAAAATCCGGATATTTTAAAAAGCTTTTCGTTCGTATTTGCACAAGGACTTCATCGGATGTGATCTCAATAAGTCGTGTAAACTTCAGGGAGCCAATGAAGTGTGGCAACAACGCAAACAGTATGTAAAGTGACACAAGACGATCTAATTTCCATTGTATTGTGTATTCGGGTTGAAAGAGTTTTACATTCACGCCTGCACGCCTGTCGTGGTCGGATCAGCCTCCGGTAAGATGAATGTGCCACTTTAGTGACATTCCTGTGACGATTACGTCACGTCACACGTAATTTATGCGAGCGCTAATATCGAGTGAGTTACGGATGTCTGTTTCAAATTCACCCTAATCTAATAAAATATTATAAAAGATTTTCGTTTCCTTCTCGTCCTCGGTTCACGTGTGGAGGTGATACACGTAATGTGACAACTGACATAAACAAGACAGGATAAAAACCTACTGCGATATAATACAATTCCTTCCCTCCGGTTACGTACTTATTTATTGTACTCGTAAACGTTTGAATGTTTCGTAAAACACTCGCTTAGAATTCTACTGCCGAAACCCTTCGGAGGGAGTTGAACGGAAATTACAATTACCGGAGTTGATTACCTTTGTTTCCACTTTGGGTTTAGTCGTATGCCGATGCACTCTCCATACTTTCGTGAACATGGCGCCGTATGCCATTGAGAAGCCTGTGGCTAGGAGCCACGCCCGGGCAGCGCACAGCCCAGAGAAATGTTGCGGCATCACCCAGCGACCGTCCACGCCCAACGCAATGGCCGCACTCAGGCAGATACAGCAGCCACACAACATGACCGTGTTACACGCTGGGTGCGACCACTGAATCACCCTGCACAGAACATATTACCGTTACACTGCAACATACTAGATCGAACAAAAGTTACGAGCCAACGAACCAGCTTTAACGACTGCAGCATTGGTTTCACGTAATAAAAACCAAAACAAAGTAAGCGCAAAATGGATTCGGAATATCTCCGCTCTGACATTAAAACAGCACGAGACCCGTTGTTCCTTTTCCTTGTGTCATTTTATATTCTTGTACAATCTTGTTCTATTTTCATTTCCATCGAGAAGAGTCGAGTAATTCAGAAAGCAATGAAATGTAAAGCAAAACTAAATAAAGATGGAGGTTCTCAATACTATCAGAGAGGTCCCCTTTGACTGTTCACTGTGTCAGATCATTTACATTCATCTCATCGTAAATTGCTCGTTTGGCATATAAAACTCCGCCGCGGGGGTAAAACAACGACTGGCGAGCGACGCAGTTGAGAAACGTGGTTTTCTTTTAGCTACTTTGATCGATAAATATGAGCTTAGATTTTCTAGTTTGTAGTGCAGAAAATTGCTGAATAGAGAAAATTTAAGAGGTTTTTTTTAATTTTCAAGTTAACTGAATATCTGTCTGAATGATGTTGATAGATAGGTGAAAAAAAAATAATTCTATTGTTTTGGAAGTTTTAAAACGAATTTACGATTATTTCAGACATATTCGATTAGATCAAGTCAAGTGGTTTGTTTTAAACGAGACCTATATCAAAGTCAGACATCATTGAACTCAGTATTAACCCGAGGCTGGTATTTGACATTGATAAAGTTCTACGAGCTAAGAAATATGGAGTTTCTTACCTCCGATGTCTGTGCAGGATGTTGAAGACAATTAGCGCGATGGCGGCGAGGATCCCGGCGATGCAGAGTGCGGTCATGCACGCAAAAAGCGGCAGAGAAACGGTGCGGAGCTCGTTAACTACGACGGTACGGTCGGGGGGCACCTTCCCACCTGCCCAAATCCAGAGTTATTTCATGGTTCACTTGAACACGGGTGACGCTCGTAAAACGCACATAAACCTATTAGCTATAAATAGAAAACGTAGGAAACTGTAAACGATATAATTTAACTTGTTTTTCCTTTTAACGGACATTTTCCTTGTTGCTGTAAAAAGAATTTTGCTGCATTGACTCGGCGATAGTAACTCGGCTATTAAAAGTAGTTGGAACTACTCGCTCAGTCTTTTAGCCCTAAGCCAATGTTAAAGGAATTAATAACAATTTCTCTTTTTTGCCTTTGTATGAGGTTTTTGCGTTTGAAGTTGTATTTTTATGTGACCGTGTTTTATGTTAAATTGTGGTTTTATATGACGCTAACAAAAAATGTGTGCTTCCAGATTCGGATATGTACAGTTTTGGCAATAAAAGTGACAGCGTGAGGTTTTAATGGCCGATTTATGGTTTACAAGATAGATTTTGGTAACACACAGTTTTAAATGTTTTAGAAAATAAACAAACGAACGGTTTTATGGACATTTAAATATAGTTGTTCACCAACTAATGGAAGTCTGTGATTCATTAAAAGTTATTAGTAATTTTTGTTTTTAAAGTTAATGTTGTAATATCTATGGCTACTCTCACAAATACTGATTCCATTTCAACTATGAAAATTACACTTATGCATATTCTATTAACATGTATGTAGTATTTTAATTTATAACACATGGCGCATCTGCTATAACAAGTTCGTTCCATACCATTTTCAAAATATTATCCTCGTTAAAATGTACGATCTGAAACGTATCTTAATTCATATGATTCTAAAATGAATCCTGACTCATTTAAATCAAAGAACATTTTTATTTAAGAGTTTTACTGACTCCAAAATTTCATAGCTCTTGAAAGTAAAGGAGCAATCTAAAATAATTTCTAAGGTCATATAATTAGGGAACATTTTTAGATAACAGCTGTATAAATTACAACACATTTTATTTGATAGGAAAGGAGTAATCTAAATTCAACTCTTAGGTGATAAAATTAAGAAATATATTAGTAAAACAATCGCACTTACCGACCCACCGCTCTCGTTCTAACCACGTTAAATTATCGGCCTGTGTGTCGTAATATCCAAGCTTCACATAATGGTTGTCGGTCAGTTGTTCTATCTGAGTCAGCGCTATGCGGTCACCCTGAGACGAGAACGCCACCAAACCCTAATGGAAATATAAGTTATATTTAATAACATATCATGGAAACTGTAAGGTCAAACTTGTTGGTCTGAAATATATGAATAAGGTGTTTATCAAAATATATTAAAAGTGTTTAAAATGTAAGATTTTTTCCTGCATTGTGGGTGTGTTTACAAACTAAAAATTCGCATACACATGACACCCAGACCCGGAACAATAATAGGGATGATGACAGGGTATGATAATTAAAAATCTAATTGGTCCGTCAGTAAGGTAATGAAAAAAATTTAAACACGAATGTTTTTATTTTGTCGTAGGTATAAGAAAACCATACTCAGATAAAACGAATTAAAGTTTAGGAGTGGGAGGTAGCTACGTCATTTTAGAGTATAAATCGTACTCAAAAGTGACGTCATGCGATATTTCAAATCAATATATCTTCGAAACTATTCGTTTCCGTAAGAAAATTAAAAATACGTGTCTAATGTTTTTAAATAATCTACCAGACGGACATTAAAATGAACATTAGTCCCTATTTGAGAATCATACAAAAAATTGCTCTGTGCGGAATTTGAACCCACTACACGTTGAGAGGCAACTGGTTACCCGACCACCGGTCCAACCGTGTCATCATCTTGGTTGTTTGACCCTCAAATTATGTGATCACTGTTGTCAAGCCTGATTAGTGTATATGGGTGCATTTACAAAGACAATACTTAGTTGACAAATACATAAAAATTGTGTAAAACCTATATAATGTGACATTATATAGGTTTTAGACATTATTAATGTCTATTAATCCTGATCCGGAACAATTATCAATAATATTGGTTTCTTTCAAGAATCATCCCTTTGTCGGTTGCATAACCGCTGTGCCAATTGTGTAGAAAAAAATTATAAATATTAAATTCATGTGTCAAAGTAATATGAAACTTAAATTAATGAGGTATAGAATCTTAAATAGCATAGTTCAATGTCGTTATTTCAGTTCAAAATTACCTGTCCTAATGAGTATAATTTAAAGTTTAGGCGAAACTTTATAGATTAACAAATGATTTCGTGGCTCGTTTAACTTTCATATGTTCGCTTAGTTATAAAGTTGAAAACTATGGAATCTTTGATTATCTATCGAACTTAACACCATTGCATGTACTCTTGTAATATTACTCATGTTAACGCAAATAAAAAATATCTTTATCTTTATCTTTATCTTTATCTTTTGCTTTTAGTTGCTCATTAACTGTTAATAATAAGATAAACTAGGAGTAAATACATATATCTTGTAATTTTAATAAATTTTGTATCGAAAATTAACTAATTATTTATTTAAGATTTCGGTATTGTGTTTGAGAATTGCACAACCTCATTCCCCCTCAACCTCAGTCCGTGTCACCATCGTACTACCAGACGCCCGGCAGAGCGCCACCCTTATATGGTGGACATTCTAACCACGCACGCACGAAGCATTTCGCATCAAGTTTCTTTGTGCAACCCGCTAATAGTCGGAAAACTGTGTTTCCCGTCAAATACAACTTGGGTGTCTTCAAGTCCCGAGTGAACAGGTTGCTCATAGGTAGGCGTGCTCCATCGTTGGCCACATCATTGCTTACCACCAGGCGAGATGGTGGCCAAACGTCAAACTTCGTCAAACGTCAAACGTCTTCGAGTTTTACGGTGTTACCAAAGAGGTTTTTGGAGTAGCTCAGTCCTGCGAACCTCCTGTGATATTGTTATGAAAATAGCATCGTATTGATTAAAGCGTATTTTCCCGTTTATCAATCTATAAAAGGGTAGGTCAGTGCAGTTATACACAATGTTAAATCCACTTTTCACTTGTCATGTTATAAGTTTCATGTTAGAGGTGAGCCTATTAGCATAGGCCAGACAAATCCAGACTTTATTTTATTACTGGAAAATCACACTTTTCTAAAAACTGCAATCAATCGCGAGAAAATCGCGAAGAAATATACATATATACCTATATCTCAAACAGAGAAGTGACTTTTTTGAAGTCGGTTAAAAATAGAAATTGTGTTTAACAGTTGAATTGGCACTGACAGCGAGGTAGTTTGTAATTGTGTAACTGTGTAAGAAGTAACTCTTTTCCTTGACTATTTTTATCTAAACGAATTTGTAACAAGTCTTCAAGTTAACGTGTTTCTTTTCCTGTATCTAGTGGAAGTTGTCTGAAGTTTAATTGCTTCCGAAGTTTCGAGTAACAACGTTTTTTCTATTCGATTTTGATTTTTTCATTATTGTTTTGTGTTTGAGTGAATATGATGTGATGAATAAGATTTAATATATAGGTAAGACCTTATTTGAAGGAACATTTTGTTATGACATAAGGCGTCGCCCTTGGATATCTGGAACACCAGGGGCGTTACACCAAGGGACTTTTTGGGGATTAGAAATTTGTTAAAAGTTGGGCATTCAGGGATTAGGAAAATGGGGAAGTGGGGGGGGTTAATTGGGTAACCAGTAACTTCACTCACATGACGAAACACAACGCAAGTGTTGTTTCATGTTGGTTTTCTGTGAGGCCGTGGTATGAATCTGGTCGAGCCGGCCCATTCGTGCCGAAGCATGGCTCTCCCACACTTTACATTTTCGCATTTAATGTAGTGTTATTACAATAAGTGTTCAATAGATTATTAGCCCTTTGTAATTATCTAATCAAAGGAATTTTGTTTCGATTATACTATTCACTAGAATAAAATGTTGATTTGAACAATATTTTCTAATGCAACATAATGTTGTATTTTTGATGTCATTTCAATGCAGTTGTTGTTATAATTTTTATAGAATATTTGATAGTTTTCAATAGTATGTTAATTAAGCCTAATGAAGTTAATTGAGAGTGGCTTCGTGCAGCTCCCAGACGGCGGTTTTATAAAGTTAAAGTAAGGTTCCCCGCAGACTGGTAACTTTAAATCGACCGATAGTTCACTTAGTTTAGATGGTGGATAAAATAAATATGTATGTTGGGTTGTTAAAATATTTGGTTAACTATAACTATACACTGTGAAATTTATATCGTTTTTGTCCTGAAATAAAATGGTTATGTCTCTGTAATACAATAGTTTTACAAAGATACAATGTTTGAAACAAAAAATAACTGATGAACCATTGTAAAAAGCAATGTTTGAAAGCGCATATGAACTCATGGTAGGTTACATTACCTCGAAGAGGTATTTCTCGGTGGCGATAGGTGGCGCTTGAGATGCGAATAGTGCCTACAAAGTTACATCTAGTGTCTCATGTGCGTATTTCGATGAATTTATTTTAAAATGAAAAGAAAACGACATCTTTATTTTTTTGTTTTCATTTATATTCCTGAATCCCCAACGATCCTCAAACTCCTAATCCCCAAAAGGCCGGTAACCCACTTGTAAAGCGTCTAGTGTTCCTGGTGTCCATGGGCGACGCCGATTGCTTGCCATCAGGTGATCCGTCTGCTCGTTTACCGGCTTATGACATAAAAAACAATGTATAACGAAAGTACTCTTTATGGCAAGTTGTATTGAGGTGCGTCGAAAATAAAAAAATATTCACGGTATACAACATCAAAGTCAAAGTCAAAGTCAAATCATTTATTTCAATTAAACTATAGTTTGGTACTTTTGAAACGTCAACAAATACAAAATAAATAATAGTCTGTCAGTCAGTCCGTCAGTGAAGCTAGGTGAAGCTAGGTGCTCATTCCAAAACGTAGATTCGAATGGAGAAGAACGAGCAAGAAACTCCATTCGTTACTCTTTTAAAAAAGTATGTTCTACAATGTCTCTTCATCTAGTACAAATGCTAGTCTATCTATTCTGGCTTCAATAAAGTGCTATTTCATGTGTTTTTGATTGTATATGTTGAGGTGTTTTTTCTTATTATTTGTATTGTGAGCTATTTGTCTTGACGAAAGTTATAAGTACAAGATACAACCAATGCATCATGTGTCAAAATGCACAAAAAAAAATAACCCCAACGCCATAATAAATCTTTTTGAGAATTTTTCCGATTTTTGATTGATTTTGTTTGTGAAGTAAATAGATTCCATCAATTAAATACGATACCGGGTACCTACAACTCGACACTTTGTGCTATCAAGTGATCAATTAGGTATTTGCTAACTAGTCAACTTCAATACTTTTTTCGAACTGTCTAAAACGACAGTCTTCTATGAATTGTGTACGAGATTGTGTGTTCTGACGTCACGTTTTTTTAGCATCAAATAGCACGCTTATTTTTTTTTAATTAGCTGTAAAAATATTAAAATGAAATTGATCATATTAAATGAATTCATGAAATTAGTGTGATTATTATTTAATATTGTATTGAACAGTTGAAATAATTTATATTTTTGATTAAGGAAAGTACCCAATTATTATGCAATAAAATTTTTCTTTGCCCAAAATCCCGTACTTGGGAATCATCCGGACGACTATTCGACCAAAGGTATACAAATAAGATAAATTATTATACGCACTCAAACAATCAAAACACCGTTAAACTGATCAGTAATCAAAATATTTCTGCCTCAACAAAACGCCTTCAAAAGAAAGAGACAGATACTTAAGTGCAAGTTCAAATAAGTAGCGTTTCAAGTTCGTTCAGGGAGTGTTTTAATTTATGTAAGCAACTCTTATCTACTCTTTTATTAATTATTGAAATGAAGAGAATTCAAAACGCCCTATTGTGTCGACAGAAATTAACTTTGTTACATTATAACTTAAGGTTGAAAATACCTTAAACAAATTTACGATTTACCAACCGAATTTTGGCGTTATCACTGACAGTGTCAGGAGTATCATTAATAGATTTTCTATTTTATTGCAATATAATTTAAGGTTGGAAATGTATTAACTCAATTTACGATTTATCGATTTTCCTCGTCGTTATCTCTGTACGGAATGCTGGTTTCTACTAGCTTCTGCCCGCGACTTCGTGCGCGCAATCACATTTTCCCCCGTTCCCGTTCGTGATTTTCAGTAAAAAGTAAAAAAAAAGTATTCTATAAAAAGTATCCTATGTCCGTCTCCTGGTTCTAAGCTACCTCCCTGCCAATTTTCATCTAAATCGATTGAGGCGTTCTTGAGTTATAAATAGTGTAACTAACACGACTTTCTTTTATATATATAGATTGCTTTTCATTTAAAGAAGATTGATCGCTTTGATCAAAGTTTTAACAAAATCGTGCTATGATTTTGACTGCTTTTTAATCAAGAAGTAGCTCTTTCTTATTGATCATATTGATGTGATTGCTTTGGGTAAACTCTATAATAGAAACTCTTTAATAAAAAAAGGTAACTGTATATTTAAATCAGATATAATTAATGTATATGTAATTAATTTTAAAGCAAAATAATAAACGTGCAAAGCAAGATTTAAAAATAAATAAAATACTTATAAAGCTTTGTGACCACAGATATATTAAAATTCTTCTTTAATACATCTATGGTTATGCTTAATATTTCATCTGTTTTAGATGAAATTATATAAACAGCAATAAACAGTAGTTAATAAAAATAACAGATAATACATTTTACGTTAAAATTATATTTAAAAAGGCCTTCTGTTAGCGATGGGTGTCAGAGAAAAGGTCGCTATAAATTTTAATTATAATTTAAACTTTGATATTTAATTTAATAAATAACCCAATATTATGTTTTACAGGCTTTGAAGTTTTTTATTTTATTAATTTGTTTGTGATCCTACAATTTTTATTCTTTACACAACAAACTTGATCTCACGTACCTATCATAAAAAATTATCAACGTACAAAATTACTAGCGTAGATACATAGAAAAACTAAGTATCTAATACTTAGTGGAGGTTTAGATAGCTTTATACGTTAATTATTCTATTCAATACCTTAGTCGCTATATACTACACCTTTGTTCAGCAAATAATGCTATTTTGATTTGAAAAAAGAAATATCGATAAAATTTGAATCAACGACAGAACGATTCAAACTCTCAAACTCAAACTCAAAAGCATTTATTTCAATTAGACCATAATTTGGTACTTTTGAAACGTCAACAAATATGAGATATATAATAGTCTGTCAGTCTGTCCGTCAGTGAAGCTAGGCGCTCGTTCCAAAATGTCGATTCGAGTGGAGAAGAACGAGCAAGAAACTCCATTCGTTACTCTTTTTAAAAAAAGTCTGTTTTACATTGCTCTGATACATATTCCAATATTGTACACACATGTGAGAATAATGTAAAGACATACCTGACGCAACATACAAATAACAGAACATACTAAAATAGAAAAAAAAAAACAAAACCAAGAGAAAACAAATATCTTAAGTCTGACATGGTCCTCACATATGTATACTGACAATCCATATAAAATAGTGCTTCTATACAAGAAAAAAATAAACTATTGTTTAAATAAAGAAAGAAATGCTCGATGCCACAAGAAAAATAGATTGCCTTCATCGGAATCAAAGTGTTAAATTACCTATTATCGTAATCTGAACTATTACTGCTACTGATTGGCACATTGACAGTGATTACGTGACCTTATGATGAGCAACGTTTTGCGGGTTCGATTCTAACAGAACAAGTTATTTGTATGATCAACAAATCTGTAGTCGTTTATTGGTAAATACACCCACAACACAGGACCAAATCTCAGTGTGAGACTATTGTTTCCAAGAAAAAGATTTATCTGATTTTTGTTTTTATAATAACTATCGTGATACATGCTGAATTAACCAAAAATGCCACGATATCGCCGCGACCGCGCATACGGCTTACGAGGAAGCGTCCTTCTGTGACTCGAAACTAGAATAGCTTTTCTCAGTATATTTACATTAGTAACTCATAATGTTTAGTTATCAGACATTTGTTTGTAACCTACAAATTATATGATTTATGTCTCCCAATGATTTATCGAGTAAACCAATAAAAGTGTACTTAAGATACTATGCAACTGATAACAGTACTCACCGATACACCGAGGAATGACGTCGAGTTTATTGCCTCGTAAATGTCGTCGGCAATTTTCTTGTTTGTATATGTGAAGTTCTTCAAACTAAGACCACTTTTCTCTAGTTTCTCCATCGTCTTGTTGAAAGCTGGGGACAAGAGGAATGATTAGTTTATTTGGTACTAGCGACCCGCCCCGGCTTCGCACGGGTGCAATATGCATGTCTTATACATATAACCTTCCTTAAGAATCAATAAACTCTATTAAAAAAACCGCATCAAAATCCATTGCGTAGTTTTAAAGATCTAAGCATACATAGGGACAGTCAGACAGCGGATGGCGACTTTATTTTATACTATGTAGTTATAACCATGCATGATATGTATCGGTGATATTTATGTTAAGCGAAGCTGGCCGAATTCGTCTGACATATGTATATGGTCACAGCGCGCGAGGAGGCGGAGACCAGTGTCGCGCTATGTTGTCAAAGTCCGGCAACGTCGCGCTATTTCACCCAACGTCGCTGACGACACGTATCGCAAGACATTTGTCCCTTAGTTTACCTTCCCTTACTTGGCTTAATAAAGCCTTTACCACAAGAAGAGGTTTGCCATAATCCCTAAAATTAGCAGGTCTTTCGCATTGTAGTTAGGTCACCGAAGCTAAAGAGCTGCCTGTTCCTCATTGGTTATAGTATAAGACCCGGGTCACGGCCAAGTTTAAGTTTCCTTGTAACAAAACTATTGGACAGGACACAATTATTTGTTGACGACCACGCTATTCAATAATTAGGCACGAAAAATAAATGGTAGCTGATAGGTATGCAAATAATTAGATCCGTCGGTTGAGGTTCAAAAGTTTATTCAATCTTCAGTCCTTTCTAAGGCACACTTAGTTCTTGTTTCATAATTATTCGTTACTGAAATAATTATTATTTGTTGTATACGAGTTTATTGGCTGCTTTGTGTTGAATATTTTGATAAATCGTGATAAAAATATAAACGATTTCGTATTTTTTATGTTTTAAACTGTCAAACACCAAGCGGTCACCGGTGACCGCAACCTATTGTTCTATAATTGTGTCTTTATTGACGGTAATCGACGAGTTAAAACAATTAGGTATATTATATCTACCATCGATTTCACTTAACTGACATAAACAATATTGTAAAATTTAATGAGGTTATACCTATCTGAATGCAAAAACGTAATCCAAATCCGCCCAGCACATTTTAGCACCAATACCAAAAAATATCTTTACAAACTTCCGCTTACATTTTTTGCTTGATTCGTTTAGCACGGGGTATGATACTTGTTGGGCAAACGCCTTTATGTTTTGTCCGTATTTAAGTGTCGACCTTTTGTATGTCACTGCTAGGGATGATACCGCGCATAAATTTGGAATTATCTCCGAGTCTTGGTGACAGTTGTGTGAATTGTGGCTTTGACTTTGTTCTACTAAGCTTAGGGTTGCCACTTGCTGCTTTATGGGGCGTAATGATATGTTTCGCTTGTGCATATTGATGTTTCAAGATGTTATTGGGTTTGGGGTAGCAATCGTTTTTGGGTCACCGAAATAATGTTTTTTACGAAGCTGCAAGACAGTATAATTTTTGTATAAGCAGTTAAAGTAAATAATGAACTAAAACAAACACATAATTAACCTTAACTATTTGTTTGTAATAATTTTTGGAATCGCACTCTGTACGGCCCTGAGATAAACAGACGAGTGAACGAACTGACAGGCTGTAGACTATTAGGTTTGGGGAATACAGCCCAAAACTAGACTTGTTGGTTCGAAACTTTATTCAACAGTAATTATACTTTATATAAAACGTTATCTTAAACATTGAGTTCCTAAAATATCTCACAAAATTCATTTCTACACAACTTATTGTAGTGCTACGATCTACTACGTAGAAAAATCGTAGCGCCGTAGCACGTAGCACGCGTAGTCACGGGCCTACGCGGGCCATTCATATTAGACTATGACATTATCTATTATGATTTTATTGAACACATTCATGGTCATATTAATAATCAAATCAGTGCGGTATCATGTATCTTCGTGACCTACCACTTAATCATTTCAATTTGTTAACTGAAATAGGAGATATATAGCTATTTTAATTTTAATCAGTAAGTCATGTCAATGACATGTTCTTTCAAATATCAGTGTTTGTGACATGAGTACATGTTTAAAATAAAACGCTTTATTCAGAATATATTTTTGTTGTTTGTTTATGTAAAATCACAGGTTCATATAAAAAATGCAATAAACATTTTGCCAGCAGCATGGCGGTATTTCATTATATCCAAATGGCACTTCGTTAGTTGGTATTCCGATACGCGGAATCGAATGAAATCGTTAAAGTGGACTGGTTACAAATAACTGGGAAATAAAACTAACAAGCTCAAGTCGAGAGAATCGAATTATATAAAACAGTAGATCGAAATTGATGGCCGTTTTATGGAGGCGAGCTTTTTGCAAAAACAGTTGGCGATCAGAAAATAGCTATGAGTATGTAGGCTCAGGGTCCGACATTATTTGAAAATAAAACAAAGGGGCTTCACACAATCACTTAGTTTATTTCGATTAACTCGTCGAGTACCGGTTTTGTAGACACAATTATAGAACAATAGGTTGCGGTCACCGGTGACCGCTTGGTGTTTGACAGTTTAAATGAACTTACTTTCACATTAATTTTTAATTATAATAATTGAATAATTTAGCACTGATTATATAAAGGAAACACTCAAATAAAACCAATAATAAAATTACTCAGCGATTGCGTAACGTGTGAACTGGGCAACGATCGACGAACGACTGACTCGAGCTTGCGCTTGCGCTGCTTTATATAGCACTCGGTGGTGGGGTTGAAGTGACGTCGGTCAGTTGTTTGTTCACTGCTTGCCCATTACATTTGCAGTTTACAAAATAATGACGACGGCGCCGTCACGGCCATACTGACGTACGCTCGTCCTCGAGCGTTTTCCGAGCATCTGGGAATAAGATAACAACCCGTTCGATCATCCTGGCATTTCTAATCTCTATCTAGTATAACCTTTAACAAAAGCTTTCAATATTGTGCGGGTTCGGTTAACCCTTCAGCTTACCACAACTACTACGTTATCATCACTCATCAGTATTAGAACTGGAGACGATTGTGCTAGGCCGGATAAATATCCCTTTAGCGCATGCTAGACTGGACATCAGTCCCTTTAGCGAATGCTAGACTGGACATCAGTCCCTTTAGCGAATGCTAGACTGGACATCAGTCCCTTTAGCGAATGCTAGACTGGACATCAGTCCCTTTAGCGAATGCTAGACTGGACATCAGTCCCTTTAGCGAATGCTAGACTAGACATCAGTCCCTTTAGCG